GCAACTCGAAGACCTACAGGCGAGTCCTCCCCGTCTTGGACTTCGACGAGTTCGGTGTTCACCAGCCTATTTGGACAGTATGAAAAAAGCTAGGAAAGTGAAGTGTAGACGCTTATAGGTTAAAATTTCAGTTATTTAAAATTATTGCAAGGGAAAAAACCACCCACAAACAAAACCCAAACTTGTTGAGCAAGGTTCTAAGGCAGGTCCAAAAAGTTTAAAATCAACAAGAGAATCAGCGCCGGGATGAAAGTCCGCAGCCCAGGGATGATTAAAATGCCTAGGCGACAGGGGACTCCTCGAAGAGCAACCACCACACCACCCCTGGCAATACCTGAAGGGTGTAGGGCCGTCTGGGCAGGCCCTGGGGGATGAAGGCTGGAGTGCAAGGTTAGAGAAGGGACGTTTGGGTATCGGGACAAGTCTTCTCCACTGTTCAGCGCAGAGCTGACCTTTTACATATATTTCCTTGCCCTGTCAGATAAGAGGATTTTAAACCGGTTCTTTGTTCATCTCTCTGTCCCCGCGACGGCAGCCGGGAGGGTAACTGGGCCTGTCTCAGGAGTACCAGTCCTAAACCCTGGACACTTGGATCAGCCGGATCTCGTCTGGTTGCTGCGGGAATGGGGCTGGCAAGGTGGCTGGGAGAGCGCGGCCCGAGGCTAAGCTCCTCAAGCTCGCCCCTCACCCCTACCCTGCCCGCCAGGTGTGGTTCCTGACGGGGGAGGTGAGCTACTCGGGAGCCCAAAATCCTGTGGCTTCTTTTAAAGCTCCCTTCTCATTAAAAGCAGCGGTGAAATCACTTGAGTGATTTTATCTGTCGTGGGAAAGCAAAACCCCGGCCCAAACCTCAGTTGCCCATCCCAGAACCGCGAACGCCCCAAAACTCTCTTTAGAAAGTTTTTAGTGGAAAACATAAAAAGCTGGGAAGCCATCGAGGAGGGGGCAGGGAGTCGTGAAAGTATGAAGGGAGGGTGACCTTAAACAGAAGCGTGAGTGTTTGAGTGTGCAAGCGTGTTTGTGTGTTTGGCTCTCTGCGGTGGGAGGAGACTAAGCTAGAAGCCAGAAGTGAAAGAGAATCGTGAACGTCTTCACCTATTGAGAAACACTTTGATCTGGGATCCGACGCTGAAGCAGCCCTAGGGGGTGCAAACAGACTGATCCGCGAGGGCCGGGAGTGTCCTGAACCTCGTGGGCGGATGGGGAGGCCCTGGCGGGGATCGGGCTCCACAGCGTCCATCCAGGTGCACGGGACCTATCGGGTCTGGCCCCATCTCCAAGCCTTGCCCTTCCCCCACTCCACACCCGACTCCGGGGTGGAGACTCTCCCAGCCGCCAAGTTCCGAGGGGAGGAGAGCCACAGGAAGAGCGCCTAGATGCCCCCATTGCCTGAGTGTGAAAACGCACCCACTCCCGCTCGCATCGCGCCCCGCACACCTCAGCAGGCTGTCTGCCTTGGTTACCCGGCTCAGGGACTGACCGGGAAAGCGGGTTGGGGCTGTTGGGAAAAGCCGGAGCTGATGGCGAGATTGCCGCGGCTATAAATCCATCACTTCCCAGGTCAGCTCCGCGAGGCGCTGAGACTAGGGCTGGCGGAGCGAATTCCTGGGCTAGCGCGCATGCGTCGGCAGGTAGCAACCCAGCTCTTTATGACCAGGTGAGATGTTGGTGAGCAGGTAAAAAAGGAGGATTTGCCTAAGCGATTCCAGGGAGCGGGCCCGGCCGAGCCCTACAGCCCATGCCCGGCGGGGACCCGTCGCCAGGAGCGCCGAGCCGCGATGTCCATACTTGCCAAAATGGGGGACTGGCAGGTACGGGGGTTTGCCTTGGCTGGGGCTGAAGTGGGCGGAGGTGGAGCGGGGAGGGGGCCGGGAGGGGGAGGCGGAGAGGAAGAGCCGTGGCCCAGGGCTGGAGAGTCGTCGGTGAGGTGCGCCTAGCAGTGCCCGGGAGCGTTCCCAGGAGAGCAAAGGGGCTCGAAAAACGTTTGCCGCTGGCGGGCCGGCGCTGGGGAAAGTCCGGCGCACCCTCCACAGGTGGCCCTGGGGGTCATGGTGGTTTGCGCTACAGAAGTCCCCCCCTCCAAGTAGACACAGGGGTGGATGACTAATCCCGGGGAGGGGGGGAAGGGCGCAGGGCGGGGGTTGCCGCCCGCGTTGAGGAAGGTTCTCAGCTGAGTACGCCTTTAGTCTTGCTCTAGACCCCAGGGCTGCCCCTGAGGTGCGGTTTTGGAGCACCTATCTATCTTTGTGCCTCCAAGTCTGGGGGACCTAGGGGTGTGGAGAATGGGTAAGGGTCCAGATGGCGGAGTCAAGCCGGCAAGCAGGTTCTTCTGGGAAATATTTAAGAGTTTGTGCAAAGTTTGCAGCTCTCTCTGCTTCCTGAAGCCAGTTCTTGCCTCTTGGGCAGCAGATGGGGATGACTGGATGAGGGGTGAATGATGGGTAAAGAGGCAAAAGGATTCTGACGAAACCAATGCCTGCCACGCTTGGCCCTGTTAGGCTACGGGCACCACCATGCCAACCAGTCTCTGGATCATGGCCTCCCTGAGCCCCGGACTGACCCCCTCCCTGAGTGCATTCGTCCCTTGCCCTCCTGACTTCCAGACATTTCCTCTGCGGGAAGCAGGGCGTCCCTAGACAGGATAGTTTTGAAGGTAGCAGGCTCTCCTCTGTGCTGATTTCAAAATAGGAACCGCGGGGCCTTCTTTTTGCCCCAGCCAGGTGAGGCCTGGTTAGGGCGAGCTTCTGTGTGCCTAAAAGCCTTCAGGGTGATTCCAACCTAATGCGAGGAACTTCCAAAGAAAAGTCAAGGCCCTGTTTCTTCTGGGGTGAGTTCTTTTACTTGTTTCAGATTTAGGCCGCTGGAAGTAAAGTTTGGAGAAGTCCCATCTTCACTACATTCCCTGGAGTTGAGGAATGGAAGTGGTCTTGCAGTATTTCTTTCTTTCCTTGTCCTTATTTGTATCGACCTTGAGCTGTTTTATACCACTTCCCTTGGTTAAACCTCACTGAATGTAATTTCATCCCCAAAGTTAGACTGTGTGGTTTAAGGATGCACATCCCATGTTAAACACAAATCCTGGGAATCCACACCTTTCCCTCTTACCCCTGTCAGCCTTAAGGCCCTTCTGTATTTTCTTCTCTGGAGAGTGTAGACTGGCAGTCTTTGGTGTTTTCTCCTCAAGCTGCTGGAACTTTGCTGCAAAATTCCTAGGCGTTGAGAAGGACCCCACAGCGCAGGCTCGGCCTGGGTCTGGGCCACAGGTGGGCCTAGGGTTCAAAACAGCGAGACTTAGGCCTGAAGGAGAAAGAAGTGAGTCTTGGGCCTGGCTCCTGCGGGCTCACAGTTTGACATGTGGTGGGAACCCTAAATCGCGGGTGGAGCATGCGGATTTGGGGCCTGGAAGGGCGGAATCTTCCAGGCTTGGCCTTTTGGTCTCCTGGGTCCCACTGGCTGGTGACTACAGGAGAAAATAGAGTCATTCTGGCTCCTCGCTCTCGGTGTTTCTCTTGGTGTTTCTCTCACACAGATACTGTTTCTCTGACTGCCTCTCCACGCCCCAATAACAGGCCTGGACTCCCGACTCCTACCCCCAGGCCTGGCGCTACTGTCCCGGGGTCCCTGCGAGGCCGAGCATTGACATGCAATGAAGGGACTTGTCGTGGTAATGACGCTCACACTAAACCAGCTCTGCTGGCTCCAGGGGAGACAGGGGCGCCCGCCCGGGCCTTTCTTCAGCACCCACAACGCAGTGGCGGCGCAGAGCCCGCAGGCCCCAATCTACACCTCAAAGGCCCCCTCGGCGGGAATACGACAACAGTTTAGCAGCCCGGGCGGGAAGCGGAGCCGGAGGTCTGCGGGGGCGCGGGTCAGCAAGGGGGTGGGTGGAGAAGATAAGGGCCTTAAGCGCCATCCCCAGCCAGCAAACAGAAAGAAAGAAAGCGAATTTAGAGACTCCTTAACCACGACGTCTGGGGGTGTGAAACCCCATGCTTGCTGGCCTAGGATTCGGCCTACTGGATCACGCTCTGCGGCTGCGGCCGCTGCGAAGGTGTCATGCTCCCGGAGTCCCAGTTCCCGATTTCAAGCCGCTGCTTCGGGCCGTGGGCCCTGGGGCAGCCCCGCGGGGTGCGTAGTGCTAGCACTGGAAGCTGACCATTTTCTGAGCGGAGTGCAGAGCTGAGCCGCAGGCTGGGTTCCGCCAAGGGACCGTAGTGAGTGTTGAGGTGGAAAAAGGGGGTGCGGGGAGCGCCCAGGATGCTGGGAGGGCGTCATTCCAGCTCTAAATCCCTCTTCTAGCTCCAGTCTTCTGAACTTTGGGGGGAACTGAGGCGGGGGTGGGGGCTGTGGCCTGCTGTGCCTGGCTTGAGGAATTTGCTGTGGTCTTCTGTGGGGAGAATTGACTTTCTGCAGCGTTGGGGCAGGAATCCTCCCTCTTCTTGCCCTCCTTCCACCTGTTAAACGCTCAGATTTGCCGCAGCCTCTCCCCCTTTGCGAGTACGCACTGTGAAAACCCGGAGACCTGGAGATTTGCAAGAAACAGGCCCAGATGGAATCAGAGGTCGTTGCTAGAGCAACTCTGAGGCAAGACTTACTGTTGAGTTTGTAGTGTTCAAGGGGGAGAAAGAAACTTTTTTAATTGAGGACAAATGAGGAAGCTCAACCAGGGAAATTACTGTGTATTTCCAAGGACCATATCACGTCTTTCTTTCTCTTTATTCCTTAAAATTATTTGCTAAAACAGAAAAGAAAAAGAAGAGCCCGGGTGGGGCGAGCAGGCCGCTGTGTGGAGCGGCAGAGCCAACCTGGACCAGGGGGTGGCTCCCAGGCCTCCGGGTTCCCAGTCAGCTGGGCACTGCGCCGCGAGAGCGCCCGCATTAGTAACATCACCAAATCATGAAGGAACTCTCCGTGCTTTAATTAAAAAGGGGGATCTTGGGAAAATGAGCAGATTAGCACAGCGAATATTTGGTTCCCAGCGATTTATTTTGATGCATGCATGACATGGCGCACACATGTCGGCATTTCGGCTCAGCTCCAGAACTGACTGTAAGTCTCCATAGAAGTTCTATGTTTTTGTCCACATTAGTACCTAAGAAACCCTTAGCCCCAACACCACGTTGAATTTTCAGTCGGTCGTAGCTTCATACAAGACGAGAGGAAAATCATTTAACCCCTGGAGCTGTCAAATAACCTCTTTAGGGTACAATTTTTATTTTACACGCGGCAATTAAAGGATCACAAGCCCCAGTCGAACGACTGGAGTTGTCTGGCAAAATCTCCAACCTTGGCGGGAAGCGCAAAGCCAATAAAACTCCCAAGGCGCTGCGGCCCGAGGTGGCGGCTTCCGCAAGCGGAGGCGATCTCTTGTTGGGCAAAAATCCTGAAGTGACTTTGCCAGTCGTGGTTTGGTGATTATATTTAACTGCTAAAGGGATAATAATTTCCAATAAAATTCGTCGGGCCTGAAAGGACAGCGCGGTTAGTGGCGGCAGGGGTGGGGGAAAGGTGCTGAAAGCCGGGCCCCAGGCGCGGCCGCTGGGACCCGCGCAGGCCGAGTCGTTGCAGAGGACATCTCCCGGGAGGAAGAGGAGTGGGGTCGGAGGGGGCGGGGGAACGGGGGCGCCTGGGGCGGCTGGTCTCGGGGTGTGATTCCGTCTGCTCGCAGGCCGGTGTGCGCTCTCGGAGCAAGTTCGCGGCTCGGAGAGGCCTTTATACCTGCGTCGGAGCGGCCGGCCGCGGACTGCGGTGCAGGCGAGCAATTGGACTATTGTTGATATGCTAATGAGGCGATTAGGCGGTTGGTAAAGAGCTGGAAAAGGGAAAAGTTCCTACCATTAGAGGGAGATCTCCGAGCGCGCACGGGAGCTCCTTCCCTCCTCGCCTCCTCCTCCTCCTCGCCCTCCTCCTCGCCCTCCTCCTCTCCCTCCTCCTCCTCCTCCTCCTCCTGCGCTCACCGCCGGCAGCCGGCACTCTGCGCTTACCCAGAGAGTGGCTCCACTTGGGTGCAAGGCGGAGAGGGGGCGAATCCATTCACGCCGATCCATGAAAATGCTTTGGAAACTGACGGATAATATCAAGTACGAGGACTGCGAGGTAAGCGCGGCGCTCGCCGCCCGCAGGCTCCGAGCTCTACCCTCCCGCCCTGCTCCTCCTCTGCTCGCAGCCGGCTGCGAAATGCGGGTGGGACAAACTTTCCCCAGCGCTGCGCCCGCCTCTCCGATTCGCCCGAGGAACGCAGGGGAGAAGCTGGAGAGGCAGGATGTGGACGCTCCCTTCTTTCATTCCCCTCCTTCGAAGCCGTGTCCCACTTTCCCCCTTTTTCTGACCAATTTTGGCTGTGCCTAAGAGTGGAGCGAAAAGATGATCTTGAGTTTTTGAAGCAATTGCTGGCAGTTGGGCACAGCCTGGGCGCTCTGTGTGTCTGGAGCGAGATTCTGGGGGCTCAGGTTACCAGAAAGAGAAAGGAAAAACCCTTTTCCCTCTTTAATTTCCTTTCTGATCTTTAATAATTCCTTCTTTTATTTATTCTCTCTTTCCTTTCTTCCAACCTGCACCCCCCTTCTAAAAAGGCTCTTCTCTGTTTGGAGAAGGGGTCGCACACTACCTCGCTCTGAGGTGGGTTGCGCCTCCCTCCCAGTTAGCGAGTTCTGTTTGGGAGCACACATTTCCCAAATTGCTGCGGGGCTCGATCCAGGTACTCTCTAATTCAAGAAGTTCTAAGCAGCTTCTCCCTCTGAAACACTTGGTCCTTGCATCGCTAGGGTGGAGGTGGGGGTGCTGCGCGGCACAGAGCTGGCTGGCGGCCGGGTGTCCACGCACCGGCCCCTGCAGCCTCCCGACACTGCTGTATGACCCTGGGAATCCTGACAGGGCTGCACGAGACTTCTGCTGCTGAGAGCCTGTGGGGCCGACAGAGCGCGCCGCCTAGGAGCCCGTTTTAAAGCCCAGGGTTCCCGGCGCTCGGCTTCCCGGGGAAGCCCCAGCACAACTGGTCTGCCCGCGGGAGGCCTGGGAACGGGCCTGGCGGCCGGGGCCCCAGCCTCCCTTACAACCCCAGCTGGAAAGAGTGGATGAGTCACGGGAGGGGAAGAGGGAGGCGCGGCCGGTGATTACCTAAATAGGTGGTAGTCTCAGCTTTTGCATTTTTTTTTCTTTCTTTTCGGCTTTTGGAGCTGGGCATGTCTGGCGTAGAGGTCTGTGCGGGCGCAGCGGTGGGGGGCCTTCCTCTCTACGCTTGAAACCAGAACCTGGGCTTAGGTGAACGAGGTGTCACACGTCCCTTTCCCCCTCTTCTTTCTGTAGATTATTTTAAATCTTCCTCCTTTCCCGTGTTCTCTCTTTTCGCCTCCCCCCACCCCACCCCATAGGGCACAGGGTGACATCCCACGGGAATGGGCGCTTCTCTGGGGGCTCCCGTCGTATGCGGTGCCGAGAGCAGATACCCCATGTCAGACCAGCCGCTTTGTTTCTAGGGTTGGAGGATCCTTTGCGAGCTGGTCGGGTGAAACCGAGACCCTCAGTCTCCTAGGGTGCATGGTCCGGGTCAGGGTCGTGGCCGAAGCTCGGGCATTTCACTTCCGTGGCGGCCGAGCCCCATCCGGAGCGCCAAGCCCCAAGGCGAGCGGGATCCGAACCTCTGCGCGGCGCTAGGGGCCTAGGGGCCCTAGGTGGGGCGATGAACTTGCACCCCCACAGGGCTCCTGTGGAGGCGCGAGTGAATGTGTGTGAGGCAAGCGATGAGAAACGAGAGCAATAGGCGAAGAAAGAAGGAAGGCTGTTTCAACAACTTTGCGGCGGGCGAGCTCCGGAGCAGGGATTTCGGGTTTCCGAGCTGGCGTGGGGCTAATTATGTCGGGGCTCTGCAGGGACACGCAGGAGGCGAGGTGCCGCTTGTTCTGACAACCCAGCGGGCAGACAGGCAGCGGCGGCAGCCTCGCCGCGCTGGGGTAGATCGAGCAGTGTCATGAGGTGGGGGGCGGGCGGGCGGGAGTGGCCCAGCCAGTCGGACGGGTTTGCCCCGGGAGCCGTAGCCCGTGCCAGCGGCGCCCAGGCTGGGCCACCTCGCGACTCTGCGCGCCCCGGGCCGCGTCCCGAATCCCCTCCCGGAACCCCTGCCCTGGGAGCCCAGGGCGGGGCTGCAGCTGCCGCGGAGCGTAGGCCCCCGGTGTCCGAGGGAAGCTCGAGCGGCGGCCCAAGCGAGGGCTGGCGGAACGGGCGGGCCCGTCCCGGGCGGAGCGCGGGGCCATGGAGGAGCTGCGCGGAGGCGGGCCGCCGAATCCCGAGTCCCAGGCCCGGCTGCGGAGCGGAGGAGCCCGCGGCCGGAGAGGGCCGGGCAGCACCTCCGGGGCAGAGGGCCCTGTGAACGCCCGGACGCGGTCCCCGGCAGCTCCTGCCGGCGACGCGCGGCCCGCACGGTATCCCGAGGTCTGCCCCAGCCCTTTAGGTCTGATTGTCCTCGCTCGCCGCCTCTCCCCTCCTCCTCCCCCGCGGCCTCCCCCTCCTCGCGCTCGGGCTCGGCCCCCTCCCCTCCCTCCCTCCTCCTGGAGGGCTCTCCCTCCTTCCTCCCTCCCCTCTCCCCACTCCGGGCTCCTCGCCCTCGCCCACACTTTTCTTTCTCACACACGCACGCAGACACATTCTCCCTCTCCGCGCTCTCTCCCTCGGTTCCCCTCTCTCCCTCTTTCTCTTTCACTTTTGCATGCCCTGCAACCTTTTAAAATGTTGCCCCTTCCCTGTGATTCGCCAGACGCCGCGCCGCGGCCCCCTGCGCGCTCGCCCGCTCCCTCTCTCGCCCGCTTTTTGTCTCTCGCGCTCCCTCTCCCCACCTCCGATTTGCTACACTGAGGCTCCCGTCAATGGACTGCATTGAGAGCCGGCTCCGGCGCGAGTTGCCTCTCCGCTTCACGCTCCATTTCCAGGCATTCTTCCCTTATTAAGTATTCGTGTAATATTAATAGTCATGAATATCTGCTATTAGGAGGCTCCAGGAACGCTGCCCAGCGCGGTTATTAGAAGCTCAAGCGAAGCCGCCGCTAAGAAAAGAGGGGGAGACACGGATTAAGGAACACGCACACGCACACAGACACACACACTTTTTGCTTTTTCCGTTTTTTGGGGTTTTTCATTTTTTAAGGAACTTTGAATCATAACCGATCACGGCAGGATAGAGACCGTGGGTTCGACCAGCTGAAGGCGCCGTTCAAATCGGTGGTTCAAGTTCGGATGGACCAGAGCGGGGCTCCAGTGCTCAGGCGAGCGGCTGCGCCGTGACTGGAGTCCTGGGTGGCGCGGGGCTCTCGGCGCCTTTTGTGTGGGGCGCGCTCGGGCGGCGGGGCAGCCGGGCTCTCCAGGCTTGCTTGTTTTTTTCCACCCTGACTCGTTACCCCAGACTCTGCGCAGATGTTAGTTCACAGTTTTTCAGCTATGGTGAGTCCCATCCCAACCCCATCCCTGTTTCCTTAGGAATTCTGTTGGTGAAACCTGGTGCTGCGGAATTGCCCGCAACTTCGGGGTTCACGCCCAGGTTTTCTTCAGGGCTCCCTTTTGCATTTGCATTTACCTGTTACCTCTTTTCCCTCGCTCTTTTCCATTCTTAAATCGGATTCATTACCCCCTTGCCCCTGCTCCACCTCTCCCGGGCCGCAGACCCACCTCGCTGCTACTTCCCAAGGCGTGTTTCTCCGCACGTTCTTTATTTCTTTGACTCTTCACTTGTTCCTGAGATGTCCTAAACATTGGATGCTTAATCCGTCCGCTGGAGAGGCGCGGGCAGAGGTGTCCCATACCCCCGGGGCCGGGGTGTGAACCTCCGAGGGTTCGCATTCCCTTGAATCAACTCTGTTCCCTTGTTTTGCAAGCGAATTGTAATTAGAGGAACGTAAAGTCAGGCGTTTCTTCTGCCCTTTGGGGCTGATGTGGAAGGGGCGGGGGCCTCCGCCCCGGGGTACACCTTTCTCTTTTAAACCCAGTAAGGCCAAATCTTTCCTTTTTAAACCTTGCCTTGACGTCCTCCTCTCCCTATCGTATCATAATCGACCCTGTCGAGAAAAAGGCTCCTAAATGAGGAAGCGGAAAAGACAGACCCCCATCCTGCAGTTAAAACCTTTAAGCTGGTAATTCAAACGTGTACTTTCATTACAGCCCCCTGCGAAATGTTTCTATTTAAATAGTCATGAAATGGTAATAGTCTTTGAAAACGTGTATGATTTTTTCCCCCTTCAAATGCATGGAACAGGAAAAACAATAACGCAGTGCCAGGCAGGTTCAAAACCAGGGGAAAAAGGAAAGGCCGCTTCTGCTGTTAGCAGAATTTCTGTTTAGCAGAAATTTTAATTTTGCTTGAGGGAGGTTCATGCTGTAGCTTAATGGGCTGTATTCTGGGCTGTCCTTTTTTGTCTTTTGCCCCGCTTTGGAAAAAAACGCCCAAGGAAAGTCTCTCGTGCCTCCACATTTACACAATCGAATTCCCTGAGCTTTTGCAAGAGTCCGTTTCACTGCCGGGGTATTTTCCGAAATGAACAATTTAGAGCTCATTTCTTTCCGCGGCCTGCGAAGGGAACGGGCGATTTCCCACGCAGTCTTGCTGAGTGGGTTTAGTATGGGCAGCCGTAACTCGACACCTGATTTCTTTCTTTCCCCTTCTTCTTGCTCTCTTGTAGGACCGTCACGACGGCACCAGCAACGGGACTGCACGGTTGCCCCAGCTGGGCACTGTAGGTCAATCTCCCTACACGAGCGCCCCGCCGCTGTCCCACACCCCCAATGCCGACTTCCAGCCCCCCTACTTCCCCCCGCCCTACCAGCCTATCTACCCCCAGTCGCAAGATCCTTACTCCCACGTCAACGACCCCTACAGCCTGAACCCCCTGCACGCCCAGCCGCAGCCGCAGCACCCGGGCTGGCCCGGCCAGAGGCAAAGCCAGGAGTCTGGGCTCCTGCACACGCACCGGGGGCTGCCCCACCAGCTGTCGGGCCTGGATCCTCGCAGGGACTACCGGCGGCACGAGGACCTCCTTCACGGCCCACACGGGCTTGGCTCAGGACTCGGAGACCTTCCGATTCACTCCTTACCTCACGCCATCGAGGACGTCCCGGTAAGAGGCCGCGCGAGCGGAGAGGGGATGAAGCCTCTTTCCACCCACCCCCGGAGAAGATGCCGGGACACACAGCCGGTGGCCCCGGGTTTTCCTCCATGGTATTCACTTTTTCAAAATTTCATTGTATTTTTTGGGCGGTCGCTTTGAGGACCCAGACAGACCACGGAATTAAAAAATAAAAAAGTAGTTGAGAGTTCTGACCCTAGAACAATGGCTCCTGGGGCTCCTTCAGACAATGCCTGTATCACCATTTCCACAATACAGAAATACATCAGACTAGTGTCACCATTAACAATCTCTTCCCCTCTCGACGACTGTAAACTGTTTCGATTTTGGTCTAATTCCACCGCTGTGTGTGGCGTGGGGATTTCTCCATGTCCTGAAAAAGATGTTAAATTCAACTGAAAGGGCTCATTAAATGCCCTAGCAATTTAAAAGAGTGTAAAAGACATACTAAAAACACTATTTTTACTAGATTTTATAAGCATTTATGATATCTAAAAGTTATGTGCATACCCTACCCTGATTAAAGAATAATAAGTAGCAAATCCGAGCAGAGGGACATTAAAATGCAGCCTTCTTCTCTTCCTAGGGGTGCTAAATGCTGACCTCATAAATCATTAGCCCTGTTCCCAGCGCCTCTCAGAACCTGCTACACCCATATTAAATTAAATGTTTTGAGACTATTGGGTAATACATTATTTGAGTTCTAATTCAGTTTATCAATAAATGCAATTTAAAATGACTTCTAAATAAGCATGGTATTAGCACATTTAGTATTTACAATGTAAACCAGGCTATTGATAATTTGAAAAAACTTTCTAAAATTAAATTTAAACCAGCGTCTCTGCTTCAATTCTACATATTTATGGTTTCCTCACAACCTTCCTGAAATGGAATTACAACAAGCCAATAATTTTATTAAAGCTGTAAAGGCTCTGTTAATGCCGCTTTTCTTTGGAGAGGAATGTATCTGGATGTGATTTTTGCTAAAATGCTATTTCAAATTAGTGCATCAAATATTGCAGCAATATGTCCGTTGACAGTTTAATGATTACTGCATTAGATTGCAAAGAGAATGGTCAGATGAACTTACCTGCTTGCTTGGTGAATTTAAAACCTTATTTAAGTTACACAGAAAAATAGAAAATTTATTACACCTCTCATTTGGACCAGTTAATCACTGAAATTTGTTGGTTATGTTTAGCAACCTTGCATAGAAAGCAGGAAAATAGGCACTTGATCCAATGTGGGGTTTAGTAAGCATTGTGTGTGTGTGTGTTCACAAATGTTTCAGAAACATACTAAACAGTGCATTTCTTGGGAAGTAAAATGAGAGGAGCACTAGTTGAGAAAAGAGCATTTGAAAAACAAACCTGGAAGTTGTGATCCTTTTAGACCCTCTTCCCAGAGTCTCTGAGTGCTTTTCCTAGCCTGCTCTTTGGAAGTATTTGAATTGCAAAATAACGTCGTAAGCTTTTGAGTACTGTGAATTAGAATTGCTCTACTTTGTAAAAATCCCAACGTGGCTGGGGTGAATTCTTAACACCTGTGTAGTCACTCTTAGTGGTGGAATTGGTCAGTAGGCAAAATTAACCAAAAAATCAAATAAAAACAAGGAAACCCAGTTGCTGCTCTTCCCCACCCTCCCCCACCTTTTAAGAAAAAAAATCCTTCAAAGGAATTTGGGTCAGGAAAAGGGTTGTTTTCAATTTTCCCATTGCTGCAACAGTTAACCTTTAGTAAGAATGACTGCTAAATATTTAAGAAAATCAAACTGATGGTGAAAATTATTTAATCATTAATATCTCAGTGGGGCTTTAAACTTAACAGTCTTCCCTGTATGGACAAGGTCTAGAAATAACACAAATAAAAGTATTATGCCACACTACATTTAGTTTATGGGTTTAGGGTGCATGCATAAAGGGATCATATTTCCCCATATAGTTAAAACACAAGAACTGCAGCAGTAGTCATTTCTGAACATTTCTCAATTTAATTATACTTAAATCCAGAAGCACTTTAGGCAAGTTACAAATGAGAGCATTGAGTATAATAAAACCTGTAATAAAGCAACTTAGTACCATCCACCCGGAATCATTGCGATCAGGCACAATTAACAGGAGCATAAATCCAAGACAGAATGGAAAATGTTCGAATCAGTATTATTGTTGGACAAAGACTAGAGAAGGAAGTAATAGTTTTTTAAATGGTAATGCCTGTGTTTGGTAACGATTGCGAAATCTTCTATCTCAGCAGCCCTGGTGCTAATTTGTAAACACAGCCAGACATTATATTGCCTGTCAGTTTCTGCATTAGAAAACATGATTTCATTTTACTTTCTAATCACGTTTTGACTCTGGCACACACGTATACCATTCATCTGTAAAAAACAAAAAAAGGGAAAAAAAGAGACACACTAACAAATCTGCTGGGGGACAACAGAAAAACAGCCTCAAAGGTCTTTTTTTTAAAAATTGTTTTCATATTTCTATCTGATACCAGTTTAGGCGTACTCCTTTAAAAAAATATTTTCAGTTTTCTGTAAGCGAAAGTGTGTATATGGGTTTCCTCTTTATCTACCTAAAACATTTCCAACACTCTGCTGTTACTCCCGCCTCTGTCATTTCTATTGTGTTTCTCTCTGGCTTTTGATGCCTGAAAAGTGGAATCGCCAAAGTCCGAAGCCGCTGAGGTGCCAAACTAAAGCTCGGTGCATTTTAAAAGGTTGAACTGACTGTGAGAAAGATTAGGTGCTCCAAAACTTCATTTAATTTCTGAAGAAAGTTTTATTCTCCACCCTCACCTCCTTCAAACAAGGATTATTTGCTGGGGGAGGAGAAATTGGCTGTGGGTGTGCTGTGAAACCTCTTGAGCTGCAAAGCCTAAATTCCAGTAAGCCAAGATGAGATGTTCGTTATATAAATATCACTGTATGAGAGGGGGAAATTTTGGTCCTATACTTTTCCCTCCCTCCATATTGTGCAGAATATTCATTTCCTTTTGTTTTGATTATACACTTACATCCATATGTATCCTTTTGTTGCAGCATGTAGAAGACCCGGGTATTAACATCCCAGATCAAACTGTAATTAAGAAAGGTAAGCCATTTCCTTCTGCATTCCAATCATGTCCTTACAAGCATAGAGCTATTTAAAAGAACTTGCAGAGCTGTATTTATTTTCTCAAATAGGATTTCCTAAAGGCTCAAATTAGCAAATAGATAGGCATAGAACAGCAATGCTTAAATGATTTGGCTTTCAGTATGTTAGTACTGGCAACAGGCAAGCTTTGTCCTGATTCATGATTTGGCCATTTGATTTAGTTTAGTGATATCTGGACAAATACATGAAATGTGCAGTAGTTGAACTGATTTGGAAGTGGCATTTCAATTTTGAAACGGTTTAATAGTTTAGTTAATCCACTGTGTGAGTGACTCGGAGTGTTAAGAAGTATATAATGCTAAAACAGTACAAATAACTTCTTACTGTAAAGGCAGATGATAAAAAGACATAATATTCCATGGCAGAGATGAAAAAAAAAGCCTTTCATGTTCTTCAATTTAATTTCTCATTAGCTGTTTAAGGGTTTTTAAACTTTGTGAATTAGGTTAACAAAAATTTGGCTTTTGGTTAAAATTAGCATCTTGAAGATCTCAGGATTATTAGCATAATTGTTCAGAGCAGAAACTGTTTTTAAAAAGTGCCAAGTGATTTGGATGGATTTGTAATTTGTTTTGTATTTAGTGAGTAGAAATAAAGTTTTCTGGAGGAAATGCTATTTACAGCAGCCCTTTTTTTGTTATGGTGGCAATGTTACATTTCAGGATTCTAGGCACCACCAGAGGATGATGCTATATAAAACTGTTCTCATTTCTAACCCCAATCAGTATATTGTTAGCTGGTTTAGAGTTTCATTTTTGCATCTGTGAAGTCGTTGTCACGTCAAATTAGATGTGCAAGGGATAAATCTTAAGAGATGCTCCTTCCAAGTCGACATGATAATTGGCTCTTTTATTAGTAATCTCTCAAGAGTTCGTTTAACTCCTATTGTCTCTATTAGCCTCCCCAGAGCTATTAATGTCACAAGTGATCTATCCAAACCTAGTGCCCCCCACTTCCCCATAGGTATAGAAGAGCCCCATTAAAGAGGAAGTATTGTGATGAGAATGTATGCATATTATATTTGCCTCCTTGTGTAATTTTAAAATACAAATGCATACTGTACTTAAATGGTTGTGGATTCATCTGCATGATATTGGTGTCAAGAAACGTTAGTACACTTTCTGCTGGCCTTGAATTTTTTTCTAACTTTGGTGGATTCGGCAACGAAGAGCTTATGATTTTAACCGGCAAGAATATATGCGCCCCTCGCCCCGCCCCCCACCGCAACGCCCCTGAAGATGCTTCATCAGAGAACTATTAGATATTTGCTCAACAAAAGGACACACTATTAGTAGTCTATCGTAGGCCTGTTTATCTTTCTTCCTCTCAGCTCAAAACGGGGCTTGAGATGGATTTCCAAAACTTGAGTCTTTTTCCAGACTCAATATAGGAAAGGGCTTATTTATCACAAGGATGGGGGCACGGTTGATGTGTGACAACAGAATCTACCACTTCCCAGCATGGTTCCTCAACTGAAACTCATTTAGAGCTGCTTTAGCCATCTAAACTCTGGGCTGATTTTAATTATAGGTCTTCGAAGCAATTTCTCCCTAACACCAAGCCCCTGACCCCACAAAACTCCACGAAGTACATATAGCCTGCCCTTGGCTTGCGAACGTAACTTCTTCCCCTGCACCCTCATCTGGGGCCCACTGTCCTCGGATGCTGAGAGCCGACAGGGTCACAATTTCACCACTATCTCCACACAACACCCTTGTGACCAAAAGGCTCCAGGCAGAAGCACAGGACTGACTGGCGGGACGGGTACGCCTCGGCGACCGAGGAGGGGCAGAGAGGCTCGGTCCCAGGACGGGAATAAAACAGGAGGTGGAAGAATGAGCCACAGAATTTTCCGGGAAGGAAGGAAAGCGGGGCTGCGGAGCAAGCCTAGGCACCTCGCCCGGCCGGGGCGAGGGTTGGGGTCGGGCAGGACTCGGGAGGTATCCTCGACATCCACACGCGGCCTCCGGGTCTGTCTCCACAGGCCCCGTGTCCCTGTCCAAGTCCAACAGCAACGCCGTCTCCGCCATCCCCATAAACAAGGACAACCTCTTTGGTGGCGTCGTGAACCCCAACGAAGTCTTCTGTTCAGTTCCGGGTCGCCTCTCGCTCCTCAGCTCCACCTCGAAGTACAAGGTCACGGTGGCGGAAGTACAGCGGCGCCTCTCACCGCCCGAGTGTCTCAACGCTTCGCTGCTGGGCGGAGTGCTGCGGAGGTGAGGCCCGGCGCGCCCCTGCTATCGCCCCGCTGCCGGGCAGCACTGCGCCTGCGCCAGGGCGGCGACGCAAATGGGCCTAGCCCCACGGCCCTCCCTTCGCGGGAAAAGAAAGGGGCGGGAAGAAACGCGTAGAGCCGGTGGGTGGGATCTGGGGGCGGGGCGAGACGGCGCGCCTGCGCTCTCCACCGCCCCCTGCGCGCTCGGGGTTCCGGCGCGCGCCCGCGTCCGCCTCCGTGACGCGCTCCCCGGGCTCTCCGCCCCCTGCCCTTCCCGCGCGCACGCGCAAGCCTCTCCTTGGCTGGTTCAGTCCCAGCCACTGCAGCCACGGGGCGCCGTGCAGCCGCCTTTTTCCTACTAGTGCACACCTTGCAAGCCCTGAAAACTTCCACTCGGGCTTTGCCTTACTTCCGTGTAGGGTCTACGACGGTAACCCGCCGTCTCTTGAATAGCGCATTAAGTAGAAGACAGTGGTTTTCTTGTGAGTCCGCGCTTCACGCTCCCCGGCCGCTGCCACCTGCGGCCAGGCGGCGACTTCCCGTGCCCAAGGCTTTCGCGTTAATCGTTTGGATGTCCGGTGGCCGGGTGTGTGCCAGGCGGTGCAAAGGACGTTTACGTGCATTAGGTGTAGTGGCTTTGATGAATGCATGTGACACTCGTGGCCAGGGATTCTCATCTCACCTCCCGCCCCCGCCCCCACCCCGCGAGACCGGAATGACTCATTTGGTAGATAAGATTTTATAAGGGTCAGCGAAGTGAAAGCACCTTCCCATGGGTAGGTTTCTACCTCTTGCGGGGTTTTTCCTCCTAGAGTTCCACTTAACGTTGTGAGTGGTAGGTCTTCGATTAAACTTTCCAAGATAATATTTCTTTATTCTTTTTTAAAAAATAGAAAGTAGACCGCGAACTTAATTTTTTGACATTTATTCATTTATCTCTTTATGGGCCACAATTCCACTCTGATGGGTATATCCCGTACAAAGCCTGTAAAACTGATTTTGGAAGATTTTAACATCAGCTCTTCTAATCTTTTCTCCCTCCTTCGCAGTCATTTGGCTGTCCCTTTGTAATCTTTCACTGACACTAATACGAAACCCCCCTCTGCCTTTTCCTTCCCTTCCCCCATCCCCAATATTGGAGACTGTTTACCTAGGGGAGCATAATCTAATCCACACAATTAAAGAGCACTTGAGTAGGGAATAAAATCTGAAATTAATTAATTTGCTGTTTTATTTAAACAATTTATCTTAACCACTTTCTGATTATGGGAGTCTATTTAGACATCTATTTAGAATCCCCTCCATTGTCTCTGAAATCAGTGAAAAATTTAAAGGCCATACCAGCTTTTGACATTTCCAGTTAGGCTGGTGACATGGCTTGTAAACAATTGGTGAAATGAATTTCCCATTGGGGCTGAAGCCAGAGCAAGAAATCTGAGAGTGATGATAACTTTGGTTACTCTGAACAACTTAACAGCAGTTCTTGCAAAGACAATTTAAGGACCCTTTTGGGATTTGTGTGATTGTAACAACAGGGAAAATATCCTGTAATCAGTTGAGCTAAAAAATACTTCAAACCTTAGAGATGAGAATTGTGTTTGTGGTTCTTCTTTAGAGAGTTGGGAAATAAAATCTTCCAACCTGCCACAATAATTGCAGTAATAACTGAACACTGGGGGTACTTTACAGTTTAACAAGCATNGGTGGGGGGCGGGCGGGCGGGAGTGGCCCAGCCAGTCGGACGGGTTTGCCCCGGGAGCCGTAGCCCGTGCCAGCGGCGCCCAGGCTGGGCCACCTCGCGACTCTGCGCGCCCCGGGCCGCGTCCCGAATCCCCTCCCGGAACCCCTGCCCTGGGAGCCCAGGGCGGGGCTGCAGCTGCCGCGGAGCGTAGGCCCCCGGTGTCCGAGGGAAGCTCGAGCGGCGGCCCAAGCGAGGGCTGGCGGAACGGGCGGGCCCGTCCCGGGCGGAGCGCGGGGCCATGGAGGAGCTGCGCGGAGGCGGGCCGCCGAATCCCGAGTCCCAGGCCCGGCTGCGGAGCGGAGGAGCCCGCGGCCGGAGAGGGCCGGGCAGCACCTCCGGGGCAGAGGGCCCTGTGAACGCCCGGACGCGGTCCCCGGCAGCTCCTGCCGGCGACGCGCGGCCCGCACGGTATCCCGAGGTCTGCCCCAGCCCTTTAGGTCTGATTGTCCTCGCTCGCCGCCTCTCCCCTCCTCCTCCCCCGCGGCCTCCCCCTCCTCGCGCTCGGGCTCGGCCCCCTCCCCTCCCTCCCTCCTCCTGGAGGGCTCTCCCTCCTTCCTCCCTCCCCTCTCCCCACTCCGGGCTCCTCGCCCTCGCCCACACTTTTCTTTCTCACACACGCACGCAGACACATTCTCCCTCTCCGCGCTCTCTCCCTCGGTTCCCCTCTCTCCCTCTTTCTCTTTCACTTTTGCATGCCCTGCAACCTTTTAAAATGTTGCCCCTTCCCTGTGATTCGCCAGACGCCGCGCCGCGGCCCCCTGCGCGCTCGCCCGCTCCCTCTCTCGCCCGCTTTTTGTCTCTCGCGCTCCCTCTCCCCACCTCCGATTTGCTACACTGAGGCTCCCGTCAATGGACTGCATTGAGAGCCGGCTCCGGCGCGAGTTGCCTCTCCGCTTCACGCTCCATTTCCAGGCATTCTTCCCTTATTAAGTATTCGTGTAATATTAATAGTCATGAATATCTGCTATTAGGAGGCTCCAGGAACGCTGCCCAGCGCGGTTATTAGAAGCTCAAGCGAAGCCGCCGCTAAGAAAAGAGGGGGAGACACGGATTAAGGAACACGCACACGCACACAGACACACACACTTTTTGCTTTTTCCGTTTTTTGGGGTTTTTCATTTTTTAAGGAACTTTGAATCATAACCGATCACGGCAGGATAGAGACCGTGGGTTCGACCAGCTGAAGGCGCCGTTCAAATCGGTGGTTCAAGTTCGGATGGACCAGAGCGGGGCTCCAGTGCTCAGGCGAGCGGCTGCGCCGTGACTGGAGTCCTGGGTGGCGCGGGGCTCTCGGCGCCTTTTGTGTGGGGCGCGCTCGGGCGGCGGGGCAGCCGGGCTCTCCAGGCTTGCTTGTTTTTTTCCACCCTGACTCGTTACCCCAGACTCTGCGCAGATGTTAGTTCACAGTTTTTCAGCTATGGTGAGTCCCATCCCAACCCCATCCCTGTTTCCTTAGGAATTCTGTTGGTGAAACCTGGTGCTGCGGAATTGCCCGCAACTTCGGGGTTCACGCCCAGGTTTTCTTCAGGGCTCCCTTTTGCATTTGCATTTACCTGTTACCTCTTTTCCCTCGCTCTTTTCCATTCTTAAATCGGATTCATTACCCCCTTGCCCCTGCTCCACCTCTCCCGGGCCGCAGACCCACCTCGCTGCTACTTCCCAAGGCGTGTTTCTCCGCACGTTCTTTATTTCTTTGACTCTTCACTTGTTCCTGAGATGTCCTAAACATTGGATGCTTAATCCGTCCGCTGGAGAGGCGCGGGCAGAGGTGTCCCATACCCCCGGGGCCGGGGTGTGAACCTCCGAGGGTTCGCATTCCCTTGAATCAACTCTGTTCCCTTGTTTTGCAAGCGAATTGTAATTAGAGGAACGTAAAGTCAGGCGTTTCTTCTGCCCTTTGGGGCTGATGTGGAAGGGGCGGGGGCCTCCGCCCCGGGGTACACCTTTCTCTTTTAAACCCAGTAAGGCCAAATCTTTCCTTTTTAAACCTTGCCTTGACGTCCTCCTCTCCCTATCGTATCATAATCGACCCTGTCGAGAAAAAGGCTCCTAAATGAGGAAGCGGAAAAGACAGACCCCCATCCTGCAGTTAAAACCTTTAAGCTGGTAATTCAAACGTGTACTTTCATTACAGCCCCCTGCGAAATGTTTCTATTTAAATAGTCATGAAATGGTAATAGTCTTTGAAAACGTGTATGATTTTTTCCCCCTTCAAATGCATGGAACAGGAAAAACAATAACGCAGTGCCAGGCAGGTTCAAAACCAGGGGAAAAAGGAAAGGCCGCTTCTGCTGTTAGCAGAATTTCTGTTTAGCAGAAATTTTAATTTTGCTTGAGGGAGGTTCATGCTGTAGCTTAATGGGCTGTATTCTGGGCTGTCCTTTTTTGTCTTTTGCCCCGCTTTGGAAAAAAACGCCCAAGGAAAGTCTCTCGTGCCTCCACATTTACACAATCGAATTCCCTGAGCTTTTGCAAGAGTCCGTTTCACTGCCGGGGTATTTTCCGAAATGAACAATTTAGAGCTCATTTCTTTCCGCGGCCTGCGAAGGGAACGGGCGATTTCCCACGCAGTCTTGCTGAGTGGGTTTAGTATGGGCAGCCGTAACTCGACACCTGATTTCTTTCTTTCCCCTTCTTCTTGCTCTCTTGTAGGACCGTCACGACGGCACCAGCAACGGGACTGCACGGTTGCCCCAGCTGGGCACTGTAGGTCAATCTCCCTACACGAGCGCCCCGCCGCTGTCCCACACCCCCAATGCCGACTTCCAGCCCCCCTACTTCCCCCCGCCCTACCAGCCTATCTACCCCCAGTCGCAAGATCCTTACTCCCACGTCAACGACCCCTACAGCCTGAACCCCCTGCACGCCCAGCCGCAGCCGCAGCACCCGGGCTGGCCCGGCCAGAGGCAAAGCCAGGAGTCTGGGCTCCTGCACACGCACCGGGGGCTGCCCCACCAGCTGTCGGGCCTGGATCCTCGCAGGGACTACCGGCGGCACGAGGACCTCCTTCACGGCCCACACGGGCTTGGCTCAGGACTCGGAGACCTTCCGATTCACTCCTTACCTCACGCCATCGAGGACGTCCCGGTAAGAGGCCGCGCGAGCGGAGAGGGGATGAAGCCTCTTTCCACCCACCCCCGGAGAAGATGCCGGGACACACAGCCGGTGGCCCCGGGTTTTCCTCCATGGTATTCACTTTTTCAAAATTTCATTGTATTTTTTGGGCGGTCGCTTTGAGGACCCAGACAGACCACGGAATTAAAAAATAAAAAAGTAGTTGAGAGTTCTGACCCTAGAACAATGGCTCCTGGGGCTCCTTCAGACAATGCCTGTATCACCATTTCCACAATACAGAAATACATCAGACTAGTGTCACCATTAACAATCTCTTCCCCTCTCGACGACTGTAAACTGTTTCGATTTTGGTCTAATTCCACCGCTGTGTGTGGCGTGGGGATTTCTCCATGTCCTGAAAAAGATGTTAAATTCAACTGAAAGGGCTCATTAAATGCCCTAGCAATTTAAAAGAGTGTAAAAGACATACTAAAAACACTATTTTTACTAGATTTTATAAGCATTTATGATATCTAAAAGTTATGTGCATACCCTACCCTGATTAAAGAATAATAAGTAGCAAATCCGAGCAGAGGGACATTAAAATGCAGCCTTCTTCTCTTCCTAGGGGTGCTAAATGCTGACCTCATAAATCATTAGCCCTGTTCCCAGCGCCTCTCAGAACCTGCTACACCCATATTAAATTAAATGTTTTGAGACTATTGGGTAATACATTATTTGAGTTCTAATTCAGTTTATCAATAAATGCAATTTAAAATGACTTCTAAATAAGCATGGTATTAGCACATTTAGTATTTACAATGTAAACCAGGCTATTGATAATTTGAAAAAACTTTCTAAAATTAAATTTAAACCAGCGTCTCTGCTTCAATTCTACATATTTATGGTTTCCTCACAACCTTCCTGAAATGGAATTACAACAAGCCAATAATTTTATTAAAGCTGTAAAGGCTCTGTTAATGCCGCTTTTCTTTGGAGAGGAATGTATCTGGATGTGATTTTTGCTAAAATGCTATTTCAAATTAGTGCATCAAATATTGCAGCAATATGTCCGTTGACAGTTTAATGATTACTGCATTAGATTGCAAAGAGAATGGTCAGATGAACTTACCTGCTTGCTTGGTGAATTTAAAACCTTATTTAAGTTACACAGAAAAATAGAAAATTTATTACACCTCTCATTTGGACCAGTTAATCACTGAAATTTGTTGGTTATGTTTAGCAACCTTGCATAGAAAGCAGGAAAATAGGCACTTGATCCAATGTGGGGTTTAGTAAGCATTGTGTGTGTGTGTGTTCACAAATGTTTCAGAAACATACTAAACAGTGCATTTCTTGGGAAGTAAAATGAGAGGAGCACTAGTTGAGAAAAGAGCATTTGAAAAACAAACCTGGAAGTTGTGATCCTTTTAGACCCTCTTCCCAGAGTCTCTGAGTGCTTTTCCTAGCCTGCTCTTTGGAAGTATTTGAATTGCAAAATAACGTCGTAAGCTTTTGAGTACTGTGAATTAGAATTGCTCTACTTTGTAAAAATCCCAACGTGGCTGGGGTGAATTCTTAACACCTGTGTAGTCACTCTTAGTGGTGGAATTGGTCAGTAGGCAAAATTAACCAAAAAATCAAATAAAAACAAGGAAACCCAGTTGCTGCTCTTCCCCACCCTCCCCCACCTTTTAAGAAAAAAAATCCTTCAAAGGAATTTGGGTCAGGAAAAGGGTTGTTTTCAATTTTCCCATTGCTGCAACAGTTAACCTTTAGTAAGAATGACTGCTAAATATTTAAGAAAATCAAACTGATGGTGAAAATTATTTAATCATTAATATCTCAGTGGGGCTTTAAACTTAACAGTCTTCCCTGTATGGACAAGGTCTAGAAATAACACAAATAAAAGTATTATGCCACACTACATTTAGTTTATGGGTTTAGGGTGCATGCATAAAGGGATCATATTTCCCCATATAGTTAAAACACAAGAACTGCAGCAGTAGTCATTTCTGAACATTTCTCAATTTAATTATACTTAAATCCAGAAGCACTTTAGGCAAGTTACAAATGAGAGCATTGAGTATAATAAAACCTGTAATAAAGCAACTTAGTACCATCCACCCGGAATCATTGCGATCAGGCACAATTAACAGGAGCATAAATCCAAGACAGAATGGAAAATGTTCGAATCAGTATTATTGTTGGACAAAGACTAGAGAAGGAAGTAATAGTTTTTTAAATGGTAATGCCTGTGTTTGGTAACGATTGCGAAATCTTCTATCTCAGCAGCCCTGGTGCTAATTTGTAAACACAGCCAGACATTATATTGCCTGTCAGTTTCTGCATTAGAAAACATGATTTCATTTTACTTTCTAATCACGTTTTGACTCTGGCACACACGTATACCATTCATCTGTAAAAAACAAAAAAAGGGAAAAAAAGAGACACACTAACAAATCTGCTGGGGGACAACAGAAAAACAGCCTCAAAGGTCTTTTTTTTAAAAATTGTTTTCATATTTCTATCTGATACCAGTTTAGGCGTACTCCTTTAAAAAAATATTTTCAGTTTTCTGTAAGCGAAAGTGTGTATATGGGTTTCCTCTTTATCTACCTAAAACATTTCCAACACTCTGCTGTTACTCCCGCCTCTGTCATTTCTATTGTGTTTCTCTCTGGCTTTTGATGCCTGAAAAGTGGAATCGCCAAAGTCCGAAGCCGCTGAGGTGCCAAACTAAAGCTCGGTGCATTTTAAAAGGTTGAACTGACTGTGAGAAAGATTAGGTGCTCCAAAACTTCATTTAATTTCTGAAGAAAGTTTTATTCTCCACCCTCACCTCCTTCAAACAAGGATTATTTGCTGGGGGAGGAGAAATTGGCTGTGGGTGTGCTGTGAAACCTCTTGAGCTGCAAAGCCTAAATTCCAGTAAGCCAAGATGAGATGTTCGTTATATAAATATCACTGTATGAGAGGGGGAAATTTTGGTCCTATACTTTTCCCTCCCTCCATATTGTGCAGAATATTCATTTCCTTTTGTTTTGATTATACACTTACATCCATATGTATCCTTTTGTTGCAGCATGTAGAAGACCCGGGTATTAACATCCCAGATCAAACTGTAATTAAGAAAGGTAAGCCATTTCCTTCTGCATTCCAATCATGTCCTTACAAGCATAGAGCTATTTAAAAGAACTTGCAGAGCTGTATTTATTTTCTCAAATAGGATTTCCTAAAGGCTCAAATTAGCAAATAGATAGGCATAGAACAGCAATGCTTAAATGATTTGGCTTTCAGTATGTTAGTACTGGCAACAGGCAAGCTTTGTCCTGATTCATGATTTGGCCATTTGATTTAGTTTAGTGATATCTGGACAAATACATGAAATGTGCAGTAGTTGAACTGATTTGGAAGTGGCATTTCAATTTTGAAACGGTTTAATAGTTTAGTTAATCCACTGTGTGAGTGACTCGGAGTGTTAAGAAGTATATAATGCTAAAACAGTACAAATAACTTCTTACTGTAAAGGCAGATGATAAAAAGACATAATATTCCATGGCAGAGATGAAAAAAAAAGCCTTTCATGTTCTTCAATTTAATTTCTCATTAGCTGTTTAAGGGTTTTTAAACTTTGTGAATTAGGTTAACAAAAATTTGGCTTTTGGTTAAAATTAGCATCTTGAAGATCTCAGGATTATTAGCATAATTGTTCAGAGCAGAAACTGTTTTTAAAAAGTGCCAAGTGATTTGGATGGATTTGTAATTTGTTTTGTATTTAGTGAGTAGAAATAAAGTTTTCTGGAGGAAATGCTATTTACAGCAGCCCTTTTTTTGTTATGGTGGCAATGTTACATTTCAGGATTCTAGGCACCACCAGAGGATGATGCTATATAAAACTGTTCTCATTTCTAACCCCAATCAGTATATTGTTAGCTGGTTTAGAGTTTCATTTTTGCATCTGTGAAGTCGTTGTCACGTCAAATTAGATGTGCAAGGGATAAATCTTAAGAGATGCTCCTTCCAAGTCGACATGATAATTGGCTCTTTTATTAGTAATCTCTCAAGAGTTCGTTTAACTCCTATTGTCTCTATTAGCCTCCCCAGAGCTATTAATGTCACAAGTGATCTATCCAAACCTAGTGCCCCCCACTTCCCCATAGGTATAGAAGAGCCCCATTAAAGAGGAAGTATTGTGATGAGAATGTATGCATATTATATTTGCCTCCTTGTGTAATTTTAAAATACAAATGCATACTGTACTTAAATGGTTGTGGATTCATCTGCATGATATTGGTGTCAAGAAACGTTAGTACACTTTCTGCTGGCCTTGAATTTTTTTCTAACTTTGGTGGATTCGGCAACGAAGAGCTTATGATTTTAACCGGCAAGAATATATGCGCCCCTCGCCCCGCCCCCCACCGCAACGCCCCTGAAGATGCTTCATCAGAGAACTATTAGATATTTGCTCAACAAAAGGACACACTATTAGTAGTCTATCGTAGGCCTGTTTATCTTTCTTCCTCTCAGCTCAAAACGGGGCTTGAGATGGATTTCCAAAACTTGAGTCTTTTTCCAGACTCAATATAGGAAAGGGCTTATTTATCACAAGGATGGGGGCACGGTTGATGTGTGACAACAGAATCTACCACTTCCCAGCATGGTTCCTCAACTGAAACTCATTTAGAGCTGCTTTAGCCATCTAAACTCTGGGCTGATTTTAATTATAGGTCTTCGAAGCAATTTCTCCCTAACACCAAGCCCCTGACCCCACAAAACTCCACGAAGTACATATAGCCTGCCCTTGGCTTGCGAACGTAACTTCTTCCCCTGCACCCTCATCTGGGGCCCACTGTCCTCGGATGCTGAGAGCCGACAGGGTCACAATTTCACCACTATCTCCACACAACACCCTTGTGACCAAAAGGCTCCAGGCAGAAGCACAGGACTGACTGGCGGGACGGGTACGCCTCGGCGACCGAGGAGGGGCAGAGAGGCTCGGTCCCAGGACGGGAATAAAACAGGAGGTGGAAGAATGAGCCACAGAATTTTCCGGGAAGGAAGGAAAGCGGGGCTGCGGAGCAAGCCTAGGCACCTCGCCCGGCCGGGGCGAGGGTTGGGGTCGGGCAGGACTCGGGAGGTATCCTCGACATCCACACGCGGCCTCCGGGTCTGTCTCCACAGGCCCCGTGTCCCTGTCCAAGTCCAACAGCAACGCCGTCTCCGCCATCCCCATAAACAAGGACAACCTCTTTGGTGGCGTCGTGAACCCCAACGAAGTCTTCTGTTCAGTTCCGGGTCGCCTCTCGCTCCTCAGCTCCACCTCGAAGTACAAGGTCACGGTGGCGGAAGTACAGCGGCGCCTCTCACCGCCCGAGTGTCTCAACGCTTCGCTGCTGGGCGGAGTGCTGCGGAGGTGAGGCCCGGCGCGCCCCTGCTATCGCCCCGCTGCCGGGCAGCACTGCGCCTGCGCCAGGGCGGCGACGCAAATGGGCCTAGCCCCACGGCCCTCCCTTCGCGGGAAAAGAAAGGGGCGGGAAGAAACGCGTAGAGCCGGTGGGTGGGATCTGGGGGCGGGGCGAGACGGCGCGCCTGCGCTCTCCACCGCCCCCTGCGCGCTCGGGGTTCCGGCGCGCGCCCGCGTCCGCCTCCGTGACGCGCTCCCCGGGCTCTCCGCCCCCTGCCCTTCCCGCGCGCACGCGCAAGCCTCTCCTTGGCTGGTTCAGTCCCAGCCACTGCAGCCACGGGGCGCCGTGCAGCCGCCTTTTTCCTACTAGTGCACACCTTGCAAGCCCTGAAAACTTCCACTCGGGCTTTGCCTTACTTCCGTGTAGGGTCTACGACGGTAACCCGCCGTCTCTTGAATAGCGCATTAAGTAGAAGACAGTGGTTTTCTTGTGAGTCCGCGCTTCACGCTCCCCGGCCGCTGCCACCTGCGGCCAGGCGGCGACTTCCCGTGCCCAAGGCTTTCGCGTTAATCGTTTGGATGTCCGGTGGCCGGGTGTGTGCCAGGCGGTGCAAAGGACGTTTACGTGCATTAGGTGTAGTGGCTTTGATGAATGCATGTGACACTCGTGGCCAGGGATTCTCATCTCACCTCCCGCCCCCGCCCCCACCCCGCGAGACCGGAATGACTCATTTGGTAGATAAGATTTTATAAGGGTCAGCGAAGTGAAAGCACCTTCCCATGGGTAGGTTTCTACCTCTTGCGGGGTTTTTCCTCCTAGAGTTCCACTTAACGTTGTGAGTGGTAGGTCTTCGATTAAACTTTCCAAGATAATATTTCTTTATTCTTTTTTAAAAAATAGAAAGTAGACCGCGAACTTAATTTTTTGACATTTATTCATTTATCTCTTTATGGGCCACAATTCCACTCTGATGGGTATATCCCGTACAAAGCCTGTAAAACTGATTTTGGAAGATTTTAACATCAGCTCTTCTAATCTTTTCTCCCTCCTTCGCAGTCATTTGGCTGTCCCTTTGTAATCTTTCACTGACACTAATACGAAACCCCCCTCTGCCTTTTCCTTCCCTTCCCCCATCCCCAATATTGGAGACTGTTTACCTAGGGGAGCATAATCTAATCCACACAATTAAAGAGCACTTGAGTAGGGAATAAAATCTGAAATTAATTAATTTGCTGTTTTATTTAAACAATTTATCTTAACCACTTTCTGATTATGGGAGTCTATTTAGACATCTATTTAGAATCCCCTCCATTGTCTCTGAAATCAGTGAAAAATTTAAAGGCCATACCAGCTTTTGACATTTCCAGTTAGGCTGGTGACATGGCTTGTAAACAATTGGTGAAATGAATTTCCCATTGGGGCTGAAGCCAGAGCAAGAAATCTGAGAGTGATGATAACTTTGGTTACTCTGAACAACTTAACAGCAGTTCTTGCAAAGACAATTTAAGGACCCCTTTGGGATTTGTGTGATTGTAACAACAGGGAAAATATCCTGTAATCAGTTGAGCTAAAAAATACTTCAAACCTTAGAGATGAGAATTGTGTTTGTGGTTCTTCTTTAGAGAGTTGGGAAATAAAATCTTCCAACCTGCCACAATAATTGCAGTAATAACTGAACACTGGGGGTACTTTACAGTTTAACAAGCATTTATTTCCTCTGATGTTTCTGTACCATTTCTTCCTAGATTTCCCTCCTTTGTGTATCTTGGGCCAAAAATCTTAATTTTTAAAAGTACATTTTAGGCAGTTGTCAACATGACTATAATGTGATGGAGAGGCAACCCAATGTTTTCTAAATCCTTTTCTCGCATGTATTTGTGAAACAGGGCGAAGTCTAAAAATGGAGGAAGATCTTTAAGAGAAAAACTGGACAAAATAGGATTAAATCTGCCGGCAGGGAGACGTAAAGCTGCCAACGTCACCCTGCTCACATCACTAGTGGAGGGTAAGCGAGTCCACTTGCTAACAAGAAAGGAGCTGTCTTCTGGGAAAATGGATAGTACTTAGTGTCCAGATATTTTGTGTCATTTGGGCAGTTTCATATTTTTCCAGAGAATACAGTTAGAAATGCAATTAAAATAATACTTGCATTTACTCCTCTCCTCTCCTCCTTACCTCTACCACAAAATTGCACCCCTTTAGTCCAATTCTGACCTAAACAATGTGAAAACTTAAGAACTGCATATTCTCCAAGTTCCTGTCTCCTTTATAGAGCTCAGCAGTAAATCACTTAAGCTATTCTGACATCTGCATTTGAGAAATACGTGACCATTACTTCCTGAATTAATTTGGGAATCTTTGACCTGCATCCTGATTTAAGACTGTCTGAAAGCTCAGGGTTATATGCCCTTTTAGATTTTTGTTTTCCAAACATATGCTCCCTTAACTCTCATTTCATTGTGCTTCTTTATTGAAAAGGAAGAAAAGTGAGCAATTTTAGACTTTGAGTTGTTTGAATAGGAAAAGAAAAAATATATAAGCATTGCAAAAAGTTTCTCCTGGCAGTTTTTAACACACACACACACACACACACACACACACACACACACACACACACTTTTAAACTCCTTTAAACAAAAGCTAATCCTGTCCTCACTCCATGCCCCAGATACACTGTTACCAGAATCCACTCATATTCCTGCTTCCTCTAGATTCCTGTTAAATTTTTCTGATACTAAATTGGGCTTAAGTTTGAGTGTGTATAGCACTCTTGCATTTTCCTTTGTGTTCTGCTCAAAATATCTTATGCCAATAAGAAAAAAGGTAGTTGAATTACAAGGTAGATTTCAAAATTACCATTTATGTTTAAAGTAGGCATTTTATCATATTTACCTCTTGTATTTGAGGAGATATAGTACAATTGACTTCGAGTACTAGCTTTGTAAATAACTAATGAAACTTTAAAACCATGAATTTAAGGAGGAAGCCTACAAACCATTTGTTAATGGTATCAAATATTATACCAGTACAACTGTTAGGTAATAAGCAATTGTTTAATGCTAGTACAAAGAGACCCCACTGTCCATACCCCAAAAGAATTATATGCAAAGAAAATGGTAATAAGTGGCTTTGGGTGTAGTGTGAGAGTATATATGGATTTGAGGGTTGAGTCCCGTAGCAGGGAGGCAGTTTCTGGAGAACTGTTATTGTTTGTGATCCGCTCCATTTTATGGAAACAAGCTCTGCGGAGAGGGCTTTGATGCTCTAATTGGCGCATGCGTTCTTCCGGAGCTGGAGCTAATGGCAGGAAGCCCTGCAGTAAAAACCAACTGGTTCAGGAAATTAAAACCAAAGATTCGAAAATCAACAACACAGACTGACTCAGTGGAGTGACCCTCAAATCCTCCTGGTTAATCGGTTTGGATGAACAGATAATTATATGCGATCAAGTTAAAATGTAAGCCCTTAGTTTTTCCCTTGCAGAAAAACTCAAAGAGTAATTATGAATATCATTTATAAATGTGTTGCTAGGTGTGAGACTGGAATACAAGAAACATTTTAAAGAGAAGTTGGGAAAATGCCATCAAGCTGGGGGATGGAATGGAAGGGTGGGGGTGCAGTGGTGGGTTTTACATTTTCAAATCATCTTGGCTTTCTAGGACAAGTGACCTTTTTTTTTCCCTGAGAAATTCATCCACCAGAGCCTACAGAGAAGGAAATAAATGCTGAAATGAGAAAACAATTAGTTTGTGTTTTCTTCAACATCTGGGTTAAGAAAGTAAGGGAGTTGGGAAGAAGTTTTGTAATCAACTCTCCGTTCTCTGGCGCTCGCCTCCCTTTTCCCACCTCTTGCCAGGAGAAGCCGTCCACCTAGCCAGGGACTTTGGGTACGTGTGCGAAACCGAATTTCCTGCCAAAGCAGTAGCTGAATTTCTCAACCGACAACATTCCGATCCCAATGAGCAAGTGACAAGAAAAAACATGCTCCTGGCTACAAAGTAAGGCATTTACCTCTTCAGGGTCTCTGTGTCTCATTGTCCAGAGAAGCGAAAACCAAAATTGTTTTTGCTCTCACTTTTCTCCTGTTTTCCTTTTCTGTCTATCCGCTTTGTTGTTGTAAATATTAAAGTTACAGCACAATCTTAGAAACTGTAACCTATTTTGAAGGGGAAATACAAGTAGGATTGTTAGTGTGCTTCTGTCTTTTCCCTCTCACCTGCCCCACCTTATTTTTAAAAAATTAATGTGTAAGCAGGAGGGTATAGTAGGGATTTGATGGAAGCTGAGTGTGGATTTGTGGCTGTTGTTTCAGAAATACCAGAATCAAGTCCTTAAAGGGGCAACAGACTTGTTTATATCTGTTACTGTCTTATGTCACTATGTCTTCAAGAGGAAGGATTAAGCAGTGGCCTTCAAAATGTGCAAGCCAGAAATTGCCCTAGTTCCAATCCTAATCCCACTTCTTGCCTGGCTTTTTCTTCCCTCCTGGAAAGTCTCTGTCTCTGTCTCTCTCTCTCTGTTTCTGTCTCTGTCTCTGTCTCTGTCTCTGTCTCTGTCTCTCTCTCTCTCTCTCTCACACACACACGCACACACACACAGCCCAGAAGTTCAGAAGTTTAGCCTACAGGCGACATGTCAAATAGGTTTCAAAATGGCCTGAGTTCTATTCCCATCCGTGTTTGGACTCAATAGGCTTCTCCAGGTGGTGTGTGAAAAGAAAATGACTGTTTTGATATGTTTTCTGGAAATTAAAAGGCTTGTTTGGAAGCCCTTAATTATCAAAGTCAATGTCACAGGAGGGCATGGAACCAGAGGGCAGAGGCTAAGGCCTCAGGCAGGACAGTTTCTGGCCTGGGGACGTCAGCTGGCCTCAGAGAAGGCCTCAGCTAGTCTTTGCTTCCCAGAGTCACAGAAAGAGCTTGCAGTGTGCCAGCCTAATCTATCTGTATTTCTGACTTTTCAAGACCCTTTCTGAAATTTCAACTTTTCCCCTTCCCTTACACACCCATATTCACAATTACCCTAGAGAATTGTGTGTGAGAGAGAAAAGAAGTGAAGTGGGAAATCGAAATGTCTATTTCTTCTTCCCCAAAACCAGTCTGAATTACCCAGAAGTAACAGATTTTTTGTGCCTTTTTAAAAAAGGCAAACTAATCCCAAGAAAAGTTTTGCCTTTTGTGGCCTCTGATCTGATTTGAAGGTGAATGAGTGGGGATTTCATCCCATAAACTGCTGCTGAGTTCTCTGTAGAAGAGCAGGGAGAGGGTGTCTGGAGTGTTCTGACCAGGACAGCTGATGGATGCTGCTGCCTCTTGGTGAGGTGCTCCTGTTTCTGACTCTTCATCCCTTGTACTCTCTTTTGTTTCACTTCTAAATGTGTGACATGTTTTCCTGTGTCCAGAATGTTTGGTGTGAGTGAGAAAGGAAGGGATTAGAAGTTTTGGTGTACCTGAGAGAAGAGAGAGACAGGGAGGGACAGAGACAGAGATGGGCAGGCGTCTGAAAGCAGGAAGGGTGTGCATTTGAGAAGTGTTGTAGGGAACATTGAGAGGTGACTATTTTCCCAACATGTGGCCATCCCCAAGCCTGTCTCTGGGGCCTGGGGTCAGGCCAGGTGTCCACTGGATGTGGGCGGAGGTGACTGCAGGTCCCTGCGGCTGGTGCTGCTCACAGGGGAGCCTCATCTCTCTCTCTCTCTGCTCCCCTTGTGTTGCAGACAGATATGCAAAGAGTTCACCGACCTACTGGCTCAGGACCGATCTCCCCTGGGGAACTCCAGGCCCAACCCTATCCTGGAGCCCGGCATCCAGAGCTGCTTGACCCACTTCAACCTCATCTCCCATGGCTTTGGCAGCCCTGCAGTGTGCGCTGCGGTCACCGCCCTGCAGAACTATCTCACTGAGGCCCTCAAGGCCATGGACAAAATGTACCTCAGCAACAACCCCAACAGCCACACGGACAACAGCGCCAAAAGTAGTGACAAAGAGGAGAAACACAGAAAGTGAGGCTCTCCTCCCGCCCTGGGCCTCCACGCCTCTCCAGCGCCTCTACCCCTTTCGGCGTCCCCTCACCTACCACCTCGGGCAGGTGACAGCTCCGGGGTCTGCAAGCCCCACTGCTGTGGCCATCGCCGCCAGTCCTCGAGCTGGGGGGCTGCTCTCTGCTGCCAGGAGGCAGCCCCTGCGGACTCAGGCCCCTGCCTCAACTTCCCCCCATCCACAGCGACTCCCCTTTGCCCTCATGTGGAGCCTAAGAGAACAGAACAGGCCGCGAAGCCAGCAAAAAGAAAGTTCTGTCCGACTTTGTGAACCTTTTTTAAAAAAAACAAACAACAAATCAACAACAAAAAATTAAAAAACTTTTTTCTAAAAAAAGAAAGTAAAAATTCTAAAAAAATTATATGAGCTTCATGGGACTGAATCACCACCTTCCCTTACATATTTCAGTTCAGATTGTAGCCATACTTAAAAATAAAAAAAGGCAAAAAGGATAATGACATTTTTATCAGTATTGTGAATAAACTTGAACACAAATACACGAAGTTCCATGTCATGTCTTCAGTTCTAGAAGTTTTTCCTCTTCAATGTAAAGTGACCAACTTGAACTTTCTCTGGCAACACGATTCACAGTTATATAAGGGAATCAGTGTTCACATCTCTGTATATATTTATTTATGTGTAATTTAATGGGAATTGTAAATATGGTGAGTCTGTTTTAAGCCCCTCCCTTTTTTTATTTATCTGGTGATTTCGTTTACCTCTTGTTTAGTGGGTTTTGATTCCTCCCTATTATTTCTTCATGTGGCTCATGGTACTGATTTAGAAATTCAAGGTTTGGGGGATTTTTTTTTTCCTCTGGAATTCATGAATTTAGCCCTGTTGTAGCATGTTAAAGATGACAATGAAAGAGCTGAACAACAACAACAAAAAAAAGTAAAATAAAATTTTATATATAATTAGCATTACCTTTAGCTTTTCATTGAACTGAAAGAAAAAAGTGATATTGGACCCTGGAAAGATTTTTAAACTTGAGTGGTTTATAACCCTTCTATGTATTGTGGGGAGAAAAAGAGTTTATTTTATTCTACTGTCCTCCCTTAAAAGCATCATTTGAGCAATAAATGAGTATTGTCTTTAAACCAAGGGTAAGGGATTTTCCTTCTCTCTCTTTATCTCTCTCTCTTTTTTGTTCAAAGAACTTCAAACATTTGGGACCACCTGGTATTCTGTATTTTCACTGGCCATTTTGGAAGCAGTTCTAGTTGTATTGTATTGAGTTGTGCTGGCAGTAGTTTCCATGCCTGTCAATGTATCATAGTCCTTTGTTGCCCAGATAAATAAATATTTGATACGCTTTATGTCGATTTTTTTTATTCAGTGGCTGTCTTTACCCAGGCGTATTTTTGTTCTTGGCAGTATTTTTTATTCAGTATGGTTACAGTAATTGAGTTTAACTCTCCCTTGGCAATTGCTCCTTGCAATAAGCAGCTGAACCCATTGTTTCCCTCAAGTATAATAAAAACTTACTTTCAACTTGGAGTTCAGAGTAGGGTATCATTTAGATATTCCACTGAGTCTGTATTCAGACAAATGACACAATAAAACACAATGTATTCTTTTGGATAAAAGATTGTACTGCTACAGGAACGACATAGTCTCTTTTCCTTACTAGAAACGTTAATTTTATTATTAAAAATAAAGTTTTATTTATTTATGTTGATCCTTTAGGTTTTCATTTGTGTTTTGGAAACCAAAATACAAAGCCTTCAGAACCAATATTAAGGATGACAAGGAAGATGGACAACCGAACAGAAGACCGCCCCCCCTTTCCCCATAAGTACTTTAGAATCTGTCTCAGAGGATAACTGAAATTTAAATTGTTAGTTCATTAGCACAAAGGAAATACCCACTTCAACCTTCACTTGCTAGCCTAGGCTTCTCAGTGGCTAAGACATGTAAATGAGCTAAAACTAGCTCTGGTTTTCTGGGAAGAGAAAAGGAATAGTGGCAGAAATGTCTGTAGAACAGAGAAAGAGGGCAAGTTGTTTCCTTTTTATTTAATATTTTATATAGAGATGAATTCACTACTGTGCTGTTCTTAGTATCTCTTGAGGTTGCAGAGGGGGAGTGGAAAATTATGTTGATTCCCAGAATCTTTGCTGCCTGCCTCCTAAATGCTGACCCACCCCTTCCTATCACCAGGGGGCTCCTCCTAGGACCTTTGAGGAATATGAAACGTTCTCTGAGGTGGGCTGGAAAGGATGGGGGAGGGCTGTGCATCCTTCCTGTGCAGACCTTTCCTATCTGTCTTCCATAATAAGAGGACTCTGTGCTCAGCTCTTACAGAAGGAAGGACTTCCTGTGCATAAAAATGGCGATTTCAGACCTTTTGTAAAGTGATTTGGAAAGTCTTTGCTTAGAAAGTGAGGAGGATTTTTAACGGTGTTTTTAAGAAGAGATAAGAGGTGGTTAACTGGAAGGTTTTAGGAGAGGTCATAGAAAAAGTCTAGGTATACACACTGGAGGAGATTTCGCATTTGTTCATCTGGGTTGGCATTCCGAAAGACTAAAGAAGCAAAGCATTAGACAGTGTCCATTTTGCAGCCTTTTGCTTTCTAATCTCTTTATGGAAGGCGGAGTAAAATCAATCCCGACAGACGAACGAGAGTTGGTGGAGTCTAAATTCTATTTTCCAAAGCCAGAGAATTCATAACAATGGTGGGTTTTCTTTTTCTTTTTTTTTTTAAATTTCAAATGGAAAGTGTATCCTCAGAACGCAGCGCGGCAATTGTTTTTTAAAGCGGTTATTTATTATTTCCTAGAGAGACTGGTTAACTGTAACGTAGATGTAACAAAATAATGAGGCGAATGAACCCTAACTGTACATACTCTTGACAGAAATGAAATGCACACAGCATTGTAGCAGGTGAAGTGAAGCATTGTCTATCAGGGCTGTTTTTCTTGGCTGCATCTCAGATTGTGTGGGGGATCCTAACCTCAGGCACAATAGCATTCATAAACAGCCATACATTGCTGCTCTTTCTCCAACGACACATAAATACTCATTTTAAAACGAAAACAATCTTATTAAATACCATTCATTCATATCTGGATTTACAGATGCTTGTTATGTCGGAAAACCTGAACCCAATATAATCTTTGCATCCTGAGAAAGATAGAAAGGAAATAGTGGGTTAGAATATTACAAGGTCATAATAAACAATGGTTTTCAAATACATAGAATTAGTTATTTCTATTCTGTAGTTGGTTGGACATTTTGAGATTGTGATATTGCCAATTTGCCAATGCCTTTCTCTTTTCTTTTCTTTAAACAAACAAAAGCAAAAAAAAAAGCTGAAAGAAGTTATATGTATTTTTAATGAGTGGGAGGATTAGAAGGGTTATTATTAAAAATAATTTTTGTGGGACTAACCAAATGCTGTATGGATTTTGGCTTTTTCTGCTGGGACCAATGGGTATTTTCTAAAACACATGGTGATTACTTGACAGGTCACATGTTTGTATACTGACAACAGTGATTCTCTTTGGATTAAATCAAATTAAGGTACATACTTGAATTGTAAGGATGCTAGGCTGTGCTAATTACCACACCCACATGGAACCACAATGCTCCTTCATTACCCCTTCTGCTCTCCAACACCCTCTAAAATCACAATCCAATCCATTCCTCCCCAAAATCGAATATTAATATAATTTGAGCTCTTGATGGAACTACCATCAGGACTGCAATGCCCCGCAGCTGAAATAATATTTAAAATAGAAGGGATTTGACATTTGAGAAGTCAGTGGCTTGAAATACCCAGTTGTACTTAGCTAATTCAGTCCTTAACCTCTGGTTTCAAATAAATCAATTACAGTCGATTCCACTTCAGTTCAGAAGTGCACAGGGTTTTAGTTAATTGAATACATTTTATTCACTTGCTAGGAATATTCATTTATCAAAATTCCAAATTTAGTGTACATTTCTTCACAACTCAGGTTATGTCAGACTGCACACTCAGATCAAATTTGCTCTGGTTTCCTGAAATCCTGCTTAAAATCTAAATTTCACCACTCTTTATGAACAATGTCTCCCCATTCCTTTCCCAATCTAAAGTTAATTCATAATAATTCCATGTCAGGCAGGAGAGCTGCTTTCTCCCGTAAAGGAAAATCATATATGGTATTCAGTCTTATGTTAAGTTTAAATAGGTTAAGAACAGACCTGGATTAATAAAGTTTTTAAAAAGTATTGACCTGAAATGAAAAAAATAAATCACGCATGGTTTCCATTAGAGCTTAACTTTGCTGCAGCTGACAGGTATGACAGCATTTTGTGGTCTTAAAGCCGCTAGCCCCTCTTCTTAACCCTCTCTCTTCCTCTGCCTCCCCCCTCTGGCTTTTGGAGAAGTGCTTGAATAAATAGTGAAATTGTTAACTGAAAGCCGTATGGTTAAATGTGCCCAAATGAAGTTGTGCTTTAAACAGATATTGATGTATGCAGTGTTTTATATTTATTGTTTGTAGCATCCTGCTGGCAGCAGTTTACTGTTTGGAAAGGAAAGGGGTTAATTAGCGTCATTATCAATCACTAATGCTTGCCTAACGTGTCCAAAGAATAATCAAGTTAGAGGACGGCAGGAAGCCAACAGCTGCTTCATCCCAGTTACAGATCTCCTCCTAAGCCATTCAGTTATGGGGTGGGGGGAGGTGAAGTGAGGTGAAGAATCCTCATTGCTTGGATAAAAGGGCTATAAAAATCGGGTCAACTCACTAGAGATCCAAGAGGCAGAAAGTACGGCATAAATAACCAGCGTTTTCATTCTTTGAGTTACAGGTGCAGAGATGGCAGTGATCCTAGGGCCAGAGTACTGACATTTGTTCTTTAATTTGCTTGATTATCCAAGCTGAGCATTTGAAGAAGCACATCCATGTTTCCCTACCACTTAGTGCTATGTGGTAAAAAGAAATGTAAAATGCAAGGACAAAGAGAACGAAGGAGGCTGAGGAGGAGAAGAAAGGAAGAAGAAACCCTACGCATACCACGGACAAACCCAAGTCAACTAACGTCACCCAACCACTCGTCTTAGAAGAATGAATCCACACAACTCACCCCATAATAGCTGTTCTCACACCTCTGCATCCCCTCTTAGGCTACTTAAGGATATTTTTCCTTGTGAATTTCAATGAACAATTCTTTATTATATTAACTTGGTTGCCGCACAGGTATGCCATCAACCTCCCTCTGTTATTACTACTCTTCAAGCTACTGTCCTGTGACACACTTTGGGAGAGAAACTGAAAAAATTTGATCCTGTGAGGGTTTCTCTTAGAAGCTTGTCTTTAAGAACATCACTTGCCAAGTCAACTTCGAGTTAGAGCTAAAGACCCCATTAACCATCAGCGTTTACTCAACTGTTTTTCTGAAGGCAGGGATGAATTAGCTCGAGGTAGAATATTTATAAACAGAGAGCAGTTGTATGATTGAACAAGACACTGATTTCTTTCCACAAAAGCAGTAGCCCAAACTCATCTTTGCCCATGCGGACACAGATGAGAAACATTCTCAGTCAAATCATGAACATAAGTTACGTCTTCTGCCAGAGAAGTGACTGGTGTTTTCCATTGAGGGCAGCAAAGTAGCCATCAGAATGGGAAGAGAGAAGGATAAAAGATATTTAAGGCTGAACTTGGGGGCTTTTAACTAAACTTTAAATGTTACTTGTGTATAAAACACTTTTTCATCTTGGGTGCCTGAAAAGGACAGTGCACAACCAACTTTGGTTTCACAGAGAGATTTATTTCTTAACAAAGAGCAACATTTAGCATATTGTTGGAAAGATCTGACACAGAGAAGAGGAAAGTGCAGGGGAGATGACCTTTCCTTAGCGGATACTTGGAACAGGGACCTCCCTCCCTCGCTGCTTTCCTTTTTCTTTCTTTCTCTGCCCCCCTCTTCTCTCTCTCCCTTCCCTCTTCCCTCTCCTCTCTCTCTCTCTCTCTCTCTCTCTCTCTCTCNCTCTCTCTCTCTCTCTCTCTCTCCCTCTCCCGCCTTTTCCTTCCTTCCTTTACTGTCTCCTTTCAGCGCGAGAATGAGCCTGACATTCTTTGGGGGAACTTGGTAGAATTAGTTTGACTTTCCATACTAATGTGCATTTAGAATTGGAAATACTTCCAACAGTAGGGTGGGGATATATTTTTTTAAGTGGTCCAATTCCATGGTGTGCTTTCACAGCAGTGATTTTTTCCTATGGCAATAAAGATTATATGCGCTAAATTCCAGTAACAATCCTAAACACAGACCACACGCTTTAGGTGGAGTTTCATGGCCCAGCTTCTGTGCGATTTGTGGCCTGCTGGTCGGTTGTCCGTCACAACTGTCAACTTTTGCAAGTCAAAAGGCCCGGCTTTTGTCTGGGCCCCAACTCTCCGAGCTCCCTCTTCTCCAAGTTGTTCTTCCTCATCTCCCTTTAAAAACTCAGCCTATCCTGGGAAATATACACATATGTATATGTATTTATTGATATTTACATTCGAAGTGTTTGGTCAAACAAAATTTAGCTAATATAGCCTAAAGAATTTTTTCTCCTGAGGCGTTGAGTTAATGCTAGGATCAAATTTCCGTTTGCTTTGTAAGCTACCAAATCCT